AGATGATGCCTTTGATTTTCCCATCAAGAAAGTGAAAAGATGAGTATTTGGCCCCAAATGCTGTAACTTGCCTGTTTCACCTCTATTATTCAGATTTCTGGGTCCTTGGCACTCTAAATTTTGGAGCTCAGCCTCTCTTCAGCATCTCCTCCTGTATTTAAGTGCATCCATGGGATTTACAGACACTGAAACCTTACAGAGCCCTCTTGTACAGAGTTAGATGTAAAGCAAGAAATTCAAATAAACAAAAATACTTCTTGGCATTCCCCTGAGGGTATTACAAAACTGCTGGAAATTAAATACTGAATTTTTTTCTTCTCTACTGCTTCCTTTTCTTCTTCAAGACCTCTTTTGCCTTCATGACTGTCCCTTTAGTAAACAAAAATTAGCATTTCTTACCCAACCTTTTTAATACTCATCTTTAAATTTTCCAAGGAGATGCTTCTTTACTTCAAATCACGACCTGCTTGTGCAACAAATTTAGCTTCAGCTCTAGAAGTGAAAAATATGTTCAGATATTAACATCATCATCTAAGGCATCTAAAATTCTTACCAAAAAATTAGGCAAATTAATGAATCTTTGTAGAAAATATATACTGATATATTTTAGCTTTTGGTTTTTAGAATTAAGTAGTAATTTACAGTAACAGTAAAATAATCTGGTATATTTGATAAATAAAAGCAAGTGATATATGATAAATATATAAAGGATCTGAGGTTTTTTTCAGATCTGCTCCTGAAAGTTATGGTTTGGGGGTTTAAAAAGTAGTTTTAGAGATCTTTATATCAAGTAACATCAAGATTGCAAAGTAAAACACTAAGAAACGCAAAATTCAGGTTGCTTTAAAAAATTTGAAAAAAATTCAGTTCTTTCCTGCAAATCCAGCATAATCGAGAAATGCAAAATTCAAGTTGCTTAAAAAAATTAGAAAAAATTCAGTTCTTTCCTGCAAATCCAGCATAATCTAAGATATGGCACATACAAAAGGCAATCTGTAGGACAGAACTTTTAATTTTTGCTGTGGGTTCTTGGAGCAGTGAGAACACACAGGCAGAAATCTGCCATTCTCTCCTACATTCCTTCTTTAAGAGAAGATTTTTTTCCCCAATATCCAATCTAAACATCCTCTGCTGCAATTTGAGGTCATTTCCTGTCCCTTGTTCCTTGTCCCCTCCTGGCAGGAGCTGTGCAGAGCCACAAAGGTCCCCCCTGAGCCTCCTTTTCTCCAGGCTGAGCCCTTCCCAGCTCCCTCAGCCCCTCCTGGGGCACCACACCCTTCCCCAATTTCTCCTAAGTACATTAAAAGCAATACATTTAAATATGTAAGAATGAAGACCTGAGGTAAAGCAGAAAAATTTATTTCTCACCTCTACACATACACGTGGTCTTGCACACTGCTTAAAAAACAAAAGAGGGTCATGGAAATGAAAAATATCTTTTGTCATGATGATGTTGGATATTAAATTCTCGAATGAACTGAATCCCAAGAGTTCTAAATGTTCACTGTGCTCTAGGTTTTAATTTCTCTTGTAAGTGTTGTGTGAAAAGGGCAGCTGCCTGTGATTTGTGGGGAATATTTCTGTGTGGTCTCGTTCTGTGGAAGGATGGGCTCTGTGCAGAACGAGTCTCAGCCTTACTGAGCTCAGAAAATGATGTTTTGCAGAGTGAGATAAAGAATGAATTTGTTTACTGTTACATGGTAATTTACAGTTAAATTGGAAACTGCTGTTATTTGATTGGAAGTTAATAAAAGAGAATATTGCATACTCAAATGATCAGAAGAAACCAGAACTGAAATAAAGGAGAAAGCCCTGTATCTCTTTCTACTCTGAGCTTCTGAAAAGGCTTTTAAAATATTCCATGAAATTAAAAGGAGATAAATCTTGCTGCCCTGATAATTGCTAGCTTTTACAAACAATCTGGGAATACTAAACCCAAGGGACTTGATGGGGAGAAAGATGGTAAATATGCAATTTTCCTTTTGTTTACTGCCTATTTATTCATTTTCTTTGGTGTTTTGTACTTTCTGTTCTATTGATTAGCATAAAGGCAGCTTTAGGGAGACAGCACACTCTGTTCCTGCCTTCCCTCTGGAAAGGGAGCCTGGCTGCAGCAGCATTCCAGAGGTGGGAGGCTGGAACAGGGGTGTGGGAGAAGACAGAAAGGAAGAATCAGCACCAAAAAACCTCTCCCACCGAGATAAATTGACACCCATAAAATACTGAGGATATAAAGGTTGGTGTAACCTTAAAGGTGATTTAGAAAAGGTGATTTGCTGAGCAGGGAGGTGGAGGAATTTATTATGACAGGATTGAATTTATTACGACAGGACTTGTGCAAGGAGCACACCTTGGATTTCGCACCCTGGTGTATCCCACAGGAATTTATTTGCTTACAGATGTAAAACCATTCACCTGCTCTCCACAGTGGAATTTTCCATGCTATCAGCATTTCTAATCATGAAGGCACTAATTAGGTGGGAAAGCACCTAAAACCAGGTGAAAACTGATATTAACTGTATTAAAACTGATAAAATTCCCCAAAAGAAAAGAAGGATTTGATGGATCGTTTGGTGTCATCTCTTGTTGTCAGGTGTTGTTTGTTGTCCCATTCCACCCAAGCTACAGGTCCCTTTCTGCCTGTAGAATTTTGCAGCTGATAATATAAAAATAAATATAAATATATTGGTTTAGTTGAGGTGTTAGGGCATGGGATGGACTTGATGATCTTTAAGATCTCTTCCAACCTAGTCATTCTGTGAATTCTGAAATATAAATATAAAAAATATAGAATTTTCAAATTCCTGACTAAAAGGATTCCACATTTTATAGCTGTTGCCTACATCGCACCCACATTTTGCTATGAAAAAAAATCATCCTGTACTATTCAGGAAGAACTTTTTTTGGTGTCAAGTAATGGTATTATTTTTTACAGGATCTTTAGGTTTTGTTACCTTTGTTCCAGATAGAGAATTGGGATTTTTTTTTCCCCAGACATCTAGAAACCTCAAAGTTTAGCCATGTCTTAGATGGTAAGTCTGGTAGATAATATGTTCTTCTTAATTACAGGACTAAATTCCCTGTCACTGGATACCCGTGCTTGTTTTAGAGGGAATAGTTAAGAAATTTGACACACGGTGTGGGTGAGGTGGCTGCTTGAAGTGACAGGGACACAGGTGGGTGCACTGTGTGGATATTTCTATTTTCTATACTTTTAATCCTGCCTAGGCTGGTCATGTTTAAGTTTACACAAGTGCCAAGTCTTACCTAGGCTTCTCCTGTTAAATTCAGAACTCCTGATGCTGACAGCAGACACTTTTTAGTCATTTCATGTCACCTTTCATTACCCACAGTTTCACCTTGTGGTTTTCAGCAGTTTGCAGAAGAACTCTGCTAAAATAGAAGCATTCAAAAAGCAAACTGAGATCATATGGCTGCTTCAAATGGAGGTACCCCCTACTGTATATACAAAAAAAAATTAGTATTTAAATACAGAAATAAGTAAAGTACATAAAAAGCATCATTTTGGTTCCCCCATCCTTCTGCTGTGATTCTCCACACACAAATCCCTGTTGCTGCTCTTGGAGGTGCTTCAAGGATTGAAATACATTTGTGAAGCTTTTCCTTTGCTACTGAGCACCAAACTAATCTGGGGTTGATTTTTGGTTTGTTCAGTTCCTCAACAAACATGAAGGTTGTGTTGCTGGGAGGGGGAAAAACTGGGAAAATGAAACACAATGACACTTCCTGAAGGCAGATGTGAGTTTCTATCAATGCTTTTATTTTTGCTTAAGGAAACAAAAACCACAAGCAATGAGGAAACCATTAAAGGTGATAGTCCCTTCTCCCTCTGCTTTAACTGATAATTAAAAATTGCTGTTTTTACAGGTGAAACTGTGTTCAGCAGTGCTGAGAAGGCACAGAAGAGATCAGGTGTAATCACAAAGCAGAGATGAACTTTTTTTTTTTTTTTTTTGATAATCCAAGTCTATGTATTAAAATACACATTTTGATTTGGGAATTAAGAAACCCGGAGCAACGTTGTAGAAGTTTAATACAAAACAGTAGTAAATATGCAAAATACAGGTGATAAGCAGAGCAGTGAGGCAAAAGGAAATAATATAAAAGTTGATTTTTAAAATGTAATTCCTGGCGTTCCCCCAGCCCTGGGTGTAATGTACTGCCAGTCTAATCAGGACAACAATGAGATGGTGGAGTTTAATTACCAAAGCACCAAAAAGGAGATGGCACAGGGAGGCCTGATATCTGCATTAAAATGGACTAGGCAGGCTGTGTTTGAGGAAAATGAGGTTAAAACCACCACAGTTTGGTGATATACAGTACTTCTTCAGTGAGAGCACTTCTCCCAGGTGGATGCATCATCTTTCAGCACAGAGATTTCTGGGAGATGTCAAACAGTAACATGAAAATTGAGATTACAGTACAGCTGCAGACACAGTGTGAGCCTTTGGTTACATACAGGTTACACCTTGTCTGCAGGTATTGGGCATTTCACCCAGTTCCAGGAGAGATTCTGTCTTTTTACCCTGCCATATTTATTCAGAAATTGGGTGAGGACCTTTGAGATGGAGCTGTTTACACATTTCATTGATCTGCATCAGCACTCCTTAAAGAATAGATCAAAACTAACAAATCTACATAGGACCAACAGAGCAGAATTATTCAAGTTCAGTGAAATATTACAAACAAAAAGGTTTCCTTTTTAGGAAAACTCAGCTATGGTAAAAATATCTACTACAGTGCACTGCACTGTAATAAATATTCAACATAAATTAATAATTTACAAGTACCTGAGCAAGTATACAGAGCACCATAGCACAGCACAGCACCAAAGGCAGTAGCTCAGAATTCTTAAAAATAATGCTGTTTTAAACATTAAAAATTCTAAGTATTGTCATAGAAATGAACTCCAGCTGGAGCTGAAAGATAGTGCAAACTTCTGTCTTCACTTTTTAAAATAAAGGTGTCAGGTTTTCTACTCATTTCACATCCATAGTGTTGCTGGACCTGGATACCTGTGGTAGATGTTTGGGAGCAGGTCTGTTGGAAAGAAAGAAAACAGCAAATTGTTACTTAATCTCCGTTTCTTTGGGTGCTCATCAATTTTGTACCTGATCAAAAATGTCAGTACTGTTGCAGAATCCCAGGGGGTCTTCAAAAGCTGTAGGAGTCAGCTTGAAATGTTGTTGCTTTCAGAGTATCTGACTAGAATGGACAACCAGCAGTTTAATCAAAGTTTCTTTGGGCAGTATTTTTGCTAAAATGTAGGAGATTATATTGATTCTATTTTTAATGCCTCTGAGCACTTAAGTGCTTTACTGCTTGTAGCTTAAAACACCACTTTTATCTTCCTTGGAGCTCACTTTTTTCACAGGAAACTGAGGAATATTGGGTAAGAAAACAGCATGGACTAAACCCACTAACATTGGGTGCAGCTACTGCACTTCCTGATTATTTTTTTCAAACATTATATTTTTGAAGTGCACAATTTCTATGCTTTTTGAATCTTTTGGATAATATTTGCAGATGATGTCAACTCATGTTTCTTTGGAAAATGGGTGATCAAGAAATCACTTTTTTGGTGACTGATTTTAACAGCATTCAGTTCTCAGCCTAATTCAGATGGGGGGGTCTGAGGAGAAAATTAATTATTTGTTAGTTTTGTAAATATGCACAGGTGTTTACATTCAAGCCTTCACAGGTATTATAAATCCTCATATTCTCTGAGAGTCAGAGCAACTGTGCTGGTGCACTTCTAGTGAGAAGCAGCGTGATAAGTAAAATTAGAAATTGAAATTGTGTTGGAAGTGCTTGTTGCAGCAGTTCCTTGAGCCATTTTAGCCATGCTGCTGTGAAGTGCTAAAATCCAGGTCTTAGGATTGATACCTTTTAGGGACTACCTAAAATCAGCGGCTGGACAAAATTAAGGGACTAAAAAGGGGTTATATTTATTGAAGGAACTTCAGGCTCGTTTTGGGCAGATAAAGCCCCCCAGGGGCTACACCCAGAAATGGATGATGGGTTTTCATACTTTAAAGTTTGGTCCATTTGCATATTGGGGGTTAATATTCCAATTACAGCTTCAGTTAATGAAGTCATTTACCTCAAGTTTTCTCCCCCCAAACCTCACTTTTGCTAACACTTCTGGGCCCTGAGGCACTGCGGTGTCCTTGATCGCCAGGCCTGCAGAGGAATATCTGTGTCTGACAGATGGGAAAGCAGCAGCTTCGTGTGTGGAGTTTGGGTTACACTGATGAACTGCAGGGTTACAAACAGACGGAAAACACACAAGCTGAGTTCCTGCGGCAGCAGGGTGGGCACTGACCTGGCAGGGGAGGCGTGGGGCAGGGCCCTGGCGGGGCCCGGGCGCGCTCGGCCCAGGGGGTCCGCGGGGAGAGGCTTCCGAGGGGCGCTGGGCTTGGGGGGCTCCTGCAGGAAACACGAGCTCCCGTCAGTTCTCAGAGTGGACATCACACCCTCCACACAGCCACAGCTGAGACAAAGCCGTGCGATCGTGGAGTCGCACACTGCGCTGGCTTGGGAGGGACCTGAAAGGCCACCCAGTGCCACCCCTGCCATGGGCACGGACACCCTCCATGGTCCCAGCCATGCCTTGGGAGGCTGCTGAGGACAGGGTTAAAGGGATAAAGAATAAAGGTTAAAGGAATACAGGATTTAAAGGAATAAAGCAGGGATTTATTAAAAGGCCTTCACAGGATACACCTTGGGCAGTGCAAGAGCCTGGCCAAGGCTACATCCAAGATGGACCCCAGGTCATGAATTTTCATACTTTTATAAACTTTGGTCCATTTCCATACTGGGGTTAATGTTGAAATGTTGTTGCTTTCAGATCATCTGACTGGAATGGATAATCCATTGGTTTAATCCAAGTTTCTTTGTGCAGTATTTTTTGCTAAAATATAGGAGGCTATATTGATTCTATTTTTAATGTAGATGGACCCAAGATGGATGGCGTGTCACAAGTTCTCACACTTTTATAAGTTTTGGTCCATTTCCATGTTTGGTTAATTGTCCAATTCCAGCTCCAGCTGATGCAGTCCCACCCTCTCAAATTTGTTCTCCTCCATTCCCTGTTTGCACTTTTTGGGTCTGAAGCTGCAGTGATGTCCTTGGTTCTCACTCTGGAAAAGGATTGTTCTGTGTGACTGAACTGTGAGGAGAACTGCTGATACTTTATATGAAGTTCAGTTATATCCTAATGCAGTACAGAATCTGGAAAATATGAAAGCTAAAACTTAAGGCATCACCAGGGTGCTCCAAGCCCCATCCAACCTGGCCTTGGACACTTCCAGGAGGCAGCCACAACTCTAGGCAAAAATGAGACCTCACCCCACCTCACTATTTCTTCCTAACACCTAATCTAAACCTAAATTGAAGATATGTTATGACTAGATAAGTTTAAATGAATAAAAAGTAACTTATTTTTAATAAGCTGGCACTGCAATTTTAAACCAAATATTTAATACTATATTTTCATGATTTTTGTCTTTTGATTCTTGACTCTAGAAGTGCAGGGTGCATCTCTGCTGGACTCAATGCTTAATTGGTGGTAAATGGAAACAGCAAAGATTCAATACATAACTTTGCAGAAGCAGTTCTATAGAAAGGTGGGAATGCTTGACATGACTTTAAAATGGAAATTCAGATGGCCACAAAACCCAAGTGCCCCAGTCTGGTTTGGATTGGGAGCATCTGTGGATTTTTTTTTTCACTGTGCTTTCATTGGGTGGAATTAAAGGCTCCGTTAATAAAGAACAGAAGTCATCTGCTGTCAGGCTGGGCCAGTGGCTCCTCTGGGTGGTCCCTGCAGCCCTGCAAACAGGGAAACTTGGCTGTTTGTGCTCCTTGTTACGGGGAGCTGGGACACATTAAATGTCTTGCTCAGGGCACACAAATCTCTCCAGTTTATCCCCAAACTCACTTCAGATCCTTCTACTACTGGAGCTGTGTAGCCACACTTTTCCCAAGGAATTTTATTCCTTATTTTTAGTTTGCCATAAGTGTCACTGGTAAAGTTAAAGGAAACATGAAGAGCTTACAAGCATAATCTGATTAAAGATCCTTTGAAAGATGTGATCCAAACAAGCATGAATTTCCCCCGAATGAAGTTGAACTTTTCATTATTTGTTTTGAGCATCCCTTTGTTTTTTTACTTTCTATGGCAAATATTTGCTCTTTCAAGAAGGAAATGCAGATTGATTATCCACAGGCATTTTGATAAGGAAGAAAATACACAAGCTTAAGTAAATTTCATATATAATAAGTCCAAATTTGCCACAAACTACATTTAAAAGTTGCATATAATGTCCACCCTCTGTTTAATTCTCTGCATAACAAGTACAAGTATTGACAGGTACACAGGCCCAACTCCTAATTTATTTATTCACTCATTTCCCACTCAAAATGTCCTCAAGTTAAACTACCCTTAAGGAGGAAGCAGCCAAGTGTTCTGACAGAAAGTGTAATGTGGTGGCAAGCTGCTGGGAAAGGGTAAATGAATGAAAAAAAAATTAAAAAGGGAGGGAACTGTGATAAAAATGGAGCTGGAGAATAAATGTTGGCTGAGATGAAGCAAAATGGAGCAGAAGGAGATGCCACCAGGAGCACACAACCTTAGGAACAGAGGAAAAGCTCTTTGAAGAAATAAATCCTATCCCCCAGACTGATTACAGGAGGGTCTTCTCTATTCTTTCTGTGCCACAGGAGAATCCAGACTTTGTGTGTTAACTCGTGTGGGGCCCTGCAGAGCCTTTGATGTGCTGGGAATCTGCAGCACAGCTCACAGAACCACCACAGCTCTGCTTCCCTCATTCCTCTTCCTCCACTTCTTTTCCTACAAAGCTTCAGCCCTTCCTCACAATGAGTTTATGGGTGGATTTATTTGTCCATTTTATATCCACAACCTGGCATTTAATGCATTCAGCCCCTGCTTGGGGAAGCGTTGTTTTAAATACTGGAATAAAAAACACAATTCTCATACTGAGCAGCTCCAAAGACACCAGGTGCATGAAATTCCAGGTTTTTTCCACCGATTTTTAAAGAAGAAAGTGCAAGCCCTCAGTGTCTACAGCCAGGCTGAGGTGTTACAGGAGAGATTCCCAGGATAACTGTGGCAGAATGAACAGGAGCTGAGCTGAGCTCGCTTTTACTGAGGAAAAAGTAAAACCACTTTTTTAAGTGGTAAAATTTTTAAGTAAAAAAGTTCTATTTCCTGGCATTAGGATGAGCTGTAAAATATGAGCTATATGTTGGTAACAAGAGGATGAGAATGTCAGAGGCAGCAACTGAATGCTAAAAGCAACAAAATCGAGGGGAAGAGATCAAATCCAAATGCTTGGGCTGATGGCTAGGATAAACCTGCACTGTTCCCTTGATTCACATGGGGCTCTGCTGATTTGTACTGACTGTGAATCTGGCCCATAAATAAAGGCAGTTTGCCTTGTAAGAGCATCTGAAAGAAGGAAAAGCTGTTTTTCAGTCAAAAGATAATGAAATATTAAACTTAGCAAGAGCTAATTCGCTGAGGATTTTTTGTTTCGTTGATTGGTTTGGTTTATTTCATGTTGTCTTTGTTTTTTAACTATTTCACTTACAACTGAAGGAAATTTTATATCATTTACAGCACCATTCTGCAGCACTGAGCATCTGGGTGACATCCTGAGTGTAGCAATGACTTTTCAAGTCCTTCTTCTTGCTGACCTTCTGGATGTGCTTCCAAGAGAGAGCTGAAGCAATACATGAAGTAGTATCTATATTTATTACCCCAAATTATTCTTAAGCTAATTTACTTTTTCCAAGATTTGAGGGGAAAAATTAACTTAGGAATGAAAGATTTTCTCCCCACACAATGTTTTTTAGGTCCCTCTGATATAAAAAGCAGATGTTTCTGACAATACTGAGGTTATGATATAATTTTGAAAGAATCCATTCTTGCTCATTCTTTAGGCTGCCGTTTTTGGTCCCTCTGATATAAAAAGTAGCTGTTTCTGACAATATTGAAGTTATAATTTTGAAAGAATCCATTCTTGCTCATTCTTTAGGCTGCCTTGAGCTGATCCCCTGTTTGTGTTCCATGCAGAGACTGAAAATGCTGATATTTTGCTTGATGAAGGAACTGTCACAATGAATTGGAGCTGCCAAGCTCAAAAGCTTTTTGGCAGTTTCAGATCTGTCAGTCTTTGCTAGTGGTAGTACTGCAGGTCTGGTATTCCACCTGGCATTTGGAGCACAAGGATTTACTGGGCTGCTCTGATGTGCAGTGAGGCTGGGGCAGGTGCAGATGCAGCATCAGAACGACAAATGGTTCCTTTTCCTTTTCCTTGGAAAGACTTTTCTCCATCCACATTCTGCTTAAGGAACTGAAAAGCACTTGCACTTGCAATCTTCCCTATGACCACTGTGAATTGTGCAGAATGTTAGAGAATACCAGAAAATGAACAACGAGACCACTGGAGCTACAGACAAAGAACAGGAATCAATATTGCTCCCAATTGCCTACAAAATTTATTTTAAAAAGAATCAGCATTCCTTACTCCCCTGGAAAGAAAATGACTGGGAACATGGAAAAGGGAAGACAAAAAAGCAAATAAAACACAGATTGCACTTGTCTGGTTGGTCTAACCTGAGTGATACAATGTTCAGGCTTAGAAAAAATTAAATCTAGAAATGTTTTATTTGCTGCCACAATGGGCAGGGACACCTTCCACTGTCCCAGGCTGCTCCAAGCCCTGTCCAACCTGGCCTTGGGCACTGCCAGGGATCCAGGGGCAGCCACAGCTTCTCTGGGCACCCTGACAACTTCTCTGGTCAGCCTCTCTCATCCCTGTTTATTTCTGACATTTTTCTAATCCCTTTTCAAAGCCCTGCACTCCAGCACTGTCTCAGAGCTGTCTCCCCCTATTCCAGCACCACGAAAAGGTGTTAAGCAGCTCTCAGGGCTCCTGCAGGTGAGAACCTGGTGTTAACAACTTTATTTTAACTTTTAATTAACTTTTTTTAAAATTTAATTTTTAATTCACTTTATTTTAACCATGTACCACACCCAGATCAGGAACGGTCTGGGTGCTTTGCCTAGAAACAGTCACTCCAAAGTGCCACCAAAAGGGAGCAGCCAGTGACAAGAAAAGGCACTGTTTAATACTGACAGCTGAATCTACCCTATCGCCCTGAGATGCATCTTATTCAAAAATAAAAAATAAAAAATATTTACCATCTCTACTTAAACACTGCAGTGAAAGGTGTGTCTGCATGAAACAGTGCTTTTCAGGTCTGTGCCCTGGAAAAACAGACTGTGCTTCATGCAGCCCTTGGCAGCACATAGAAGCACATCAAGCTAAGACACCTTTTGCTCTTGCACATCACATGTGCAACTCCCTAAACTCTCTCTCTGTGCTTGGCACCTCACTAACAAACTGTGCAGCTCTCCTCTGCTTGGGCAGCTGCAGAGATGTGTTTGCCTCTAATGTGTTTGTTCTTTTGAGTGGTGAAGGCAGAGTTCAGCATCCAGAATTTTAGGATCACAGCCCCACTTGCCACAAGGCAATTTTTCTACAGCAGAGTTCTAAACTCACAGAAAGCATAAAGGAAAGACTGTGGGAAAAGGGCAGCAGGAAAGATGAGAAAACACTTCATTTCTCCAGACACTCACAGAGTAAATATTACATAGAAGAGAATCAACGGTTACCTGGGAGAACCTCAGTGAAGGATTAGCTGGCAGGGGTCTCTCAGGCCCGGCTTGGTGGCCTGGCAGCTGGGGAAGGGGTGGCAGGACTCTCTGGGGTGTTTTTAATGGTGGCACCTCGTGTGTCTTCACAGGGCTGCTGATGTCGATGATCTGATACGGCAGCGGCCGCCTGGGGCCGTCTCTCTGGGAAAAATCATCCTTAAAGTTATATATTTCAGTAATCCAACCAAAGTTATATATTTCAATCATCCAACCAAAGTTATATATTTCAGTAATCCAACATAAGTTACACATTTCAACCATTCAACCAAAGTTATACATTTCTACCATCCAACCAAAGTTACACATTTCAACCATTCAACCAAAGTTTTACATTTCAATAATCCAACCAAAGTCATACATTTCAACCATCCAACCAAAGTTATACATTTGAACCATCTAACCAAAGTTATACATTTCAATCATCCACCGAAGTCATATATTTCAATAATCCAACCAAAGTTATACATTGCAAGAGCTGGCACAGAATCACAGGATGGTTTGGTCTGAAGGGATCTGAAGGACCAGCATGTTCCAACCCCTGCCATGAGCAGGGACACCTCCCACCAGGGAGCTCCAAGCCCCATCAAACCTGGCCGATTGCTACTTTAAAATCCATGGCAGTCCCTTGCTTTTCTCTCCTAGAGACAAAACTATTTATTTTCTGCACTGGACAACTCCACCTGTATTCAACATGGAAGCCATAAATGAATTTTGAACTTATATCCACTCCCATTTTACTTAATGTTAGTCCTACATGATATTAAGTTCATGCAATATTATAATAAATCATTTAATTGAGATAAAATAGATGAGACCTTTTTTTGATTTTCCCCTACTTAAAAAAAAATAAATATTTAGGGACTCACTTTTTGTATGGCGGTATTTTGTGGCTTCACAATAAGGTTTTTACTAACACATATGGTATGAACATGATTTGGCTCAGATGAACTGGAAGGTCTTGCAGGACTCACAGACCTGCAATACAAACATTTAATTAATGAACACTGTGTTCTGCTTTGTAACATTTTCTTAAACAGGAGCCTCTTTTTAGAATGGGATTTTGCAAGAACTTTCTGTCTGGTTATAGTAAACAAGGAAAGTAAAAACTGTCTAGCACTCCTGCAAGAATAAAAATAAATATTGATTTTTTAGAAATCAGTAGTCTGTTAAATTAGCTTCTGCAATCTGTGGAAATGCAGCTTTGTAACACCCAGGAGACTATTCTAATGAATCTAACATTTAAACAGTAATGACCTCAAATAGGAAAGTTTCAGCTCACTCAGCTGAGTTTAGATAAAAGGCCACACAGTGTAATGAAACTGTTTCAGGCAAATGAAAATAAAGGCAATACTTCCATCACTGCTTAATTTTTCATCCCAAAAGGAAAGAGGGATATATTCAAACCAAAACCTGTGTTATTTACTGCCTATCAATGAAATTAAACCAACCCAGGGAAAACGCTACTGATAATGGTGAATATTTTTTGTCATGGCTGGCTCTTCCTAACACATTTACAGTGATGAGAATTGCTGTGTTTACTGCTTCCTTTCCTTAATATCTATGGGAATATAATTAGGGAAAATGGGCATACCTTAATTTCTCTATTGTTGTCTTCTTGCTTGTAAACAACCACCTCATGAAAGTCTTCCTTTTGAGGTACATGATTGATCCAGCAAAGATAAGGCACAGGATGGTTATCAACACTCCTATGGTCAAACTCTTATTGTCTGCAAAAAAAATCACATGGAGTTAACTTCTTCCAAGGGCCTGCTTACTGCCTGGCCAGGGTTTCTTTGCTATCTTCAAAAAACAAAAATCTTTCAGTAGAGCAATCATGATGGGAAGCTTTGTCATGGAAACAACCATGCTGTCATAATTTTAGTACTGCCACCCACTGCAGCATCTGGCATGCAGAGGAGAGAACCATTTTGGTTTAGAACAGTATTGTTCATATGAAAACAGACATTATTTCCCATTGAGATTTAGTTTATACATGTACTTGTGAGGAGACTTCTTGTCCTGTCATGTCCCCAGACATAAACCATAAACATCTTTCGAGGTCACTGATGTTCCAACACTCTGGGGAAAAACTGGCACGGAATAATGAAATCCTGTGAAATTAACAATGTGTAGAAAGAATTCTTTCTGAGGTTGACCAATTTCCACTCTTTATCCTCGAAAAAAACAGGTGGAGGCTGAATTCCCACTGACCTGCCTGTCTGATGGGCCCACTGTCCACGCTGCCACCAAAGCCTGGTTTGTCACAGAAAGGGGGGGCCCAGTCAGCCTCACAGTGACAGTTCTTTTTGTTGTTGCAGACCTGCAAAACAAGACAAATGGCTTAACATAAAAAACATCCGAGAGCAGCCCTGGCTGATAAGGGCTTCTAATCAGACAGTGACACATCAGAGAGGAATAAAGCTTGGAGAAGAAAGGAGATGTGCTGATAGCTGCCTGCTGCACACTGAGGTGGCAAAGTGCAACTCGCTACGGAGGAAGAGGGATCCTAAAAACCATTATTTCTTTGGCAGGTAATCGTTGGAGTTGCCCCAGCTGACAACATCAATAATATGAGGATAATCAGACACCTCTTAAGTCTTGTTCTCTGTTTGCTTCCAGCAGCAGGATTATCTGCCTGGTTACTTCAGTTCCTCCTGCCTGCACAGGAGCAGCAGAGCTTTGCCAGCTCCCCAAGTATTACTGAAGGGGTACTGGGGACAGCCAAAGGTGATTCAGAGACTTTATCATTAGAAGGCATGAAAAGACACTTTAGTATTAGAAATCTTCAGTTCTTATAGAAACAATGGTGAACCTAAGACCTGATTGGCCTTTAGGAATCTTCTCTCATACGACTGGTGAACTATGAATAGTATACTCTAGAAAATCATATCTATAAACAACGGTTACAGAAAGAGAGATAATAATTGTTTGAAATCTAAGTTTCTCACAGCTTCTACACAGCTTCCCAGGATTTTCCTGGGAGAACCATGTCTCCCTCAGAATTATGTTCAGAAATATGTAATTACTACACCCCAAGCTCTCCTCCTCATCAAGGGCTTGCACTGGGCCCAGCATGGATTTTTCCATGGCTCCAAGATGAACCACTTGCTGGAGTAAGCTGTGAAAAGGGCTCAGGGCTGAGGAAACCCTCAGGGAGCTTTGATACCACACCAGCACTGGCTGTAGGGACACAGAGATCCATTCTGGGGTGGTTTTAATCCGAGTGAGGGAACAGCTCGTGAGGCCCGACCAGCCCAGTGGGATCAGAGAGCTCCAAGGGACTGGAGCTCAGCACCAGCACAGCCTGGTCCTGCTGCACACAGGGCAGGAGCCAGCAGCTCCAGGGCTCTCCCCAGGAGCTCCTGCAGTCCAAATGCTCCTTATCTCCTCTTGCTGTTCCCCAGCAGCTGCTGTGTGGTGAATACAGAGCTCAAAGCTCTGTGCTGGACCGACAGAATGCATGGAGTCACAGAACTGTTCAGGCTGGAAGAGTCCTCCCAGATCTTCAACCATTCCCCAGAACTGACAAGGCCACCATGTCCCCACGTGTCACCACATCCACATGGATTTTAAATCCCTCCAGGGATGGGGACTCCAAACTACCCTGGGCAGCTGTGCAAGGGCTGAAAAAATTTTCCATGAAGAAATTTTTGTAAATATCCACCTGAAGCCTGCCCTGGCCCAGCCTGAGGCTGTTCCCTCTGCTCCTGTCCCTGTTCCCTGGAGCACAGCCTGACTCCCCCGGCTGTCCCCTCCTGTCAGGAGCTGTGCAGAGCCACAAGGTCCCCCCTGAGCCTCCTGTGCTCCAGGCTGAGCCCATTCCCAGCTCCCTCAACCCCTCCTGGGGCTCCAGAGCCTTCCCCAGCTCCATTCCCTTCCCTGGACACGCCCCAGCCCCACAGTGTCCCTCTTGTCCTGAGGAATGTCCTCTTGTCCTTCAAGATTTGAAGTCACATTTAGGTGCTCAATCTATCAATTTGTAAATAAATCCATTTGTAAATAAAGATTTTGGGCTTAGGGCTTGTTGTCAATAAGGTCCTTAATGCTGTGCTAACCCCAGCCATGACTGATCTGCCACCACCATGGAGAGCCCACAGCACAGATTAAGAAATGAGTTTTCAGTAAGACACAAATCAGTTCACAGGAGTTTGGGTTACTCTGAACATGCAATATTCTGGCCAGGTCAGCTTGGCAGGCTTTCAGAAACCTCTGCTCCCTGTGTCTGCAGAGCACTAAAATATTCAGAGAGCTCAGCCTGGCTGTGGTCATGTAAAATTAAAAAAAAAATAAAAAATTTACATTTCAAAGACAGCAAGATAATTAAAATATACTTTGTTAAGCATTATTTTTTAAATTAAAGCACTGCAGGCATTCCTATTTACAATTCCACTAGGTCAGTTTTGCCACTGAGGAGTCGCAAAAGGTTCTTGTTTGTACAGACATAAAAAATGCCAGTCCAAGCCTCTGCTCATTCCATCCTCAATGATAAGAGGCAGCACCATCAAAACTGCTCAGTTTTGCAAATTCAGGGTGATAAAATAAGTTAAAGCAAAATTAAAATCCTTCCTCAGAGAGGACAGTGAATTTCTATGGCTCTTCCAGTGTGGCTGCCACAGCTTTTCAGAGAAACAAACAGCTCATCAGCACATCAAGGTTAATAAGGCAAAGCCTGCCATAATTAACATTATTATAATATAAACTGGGTTTCAAACCACTGATATTATTAAATGATATCATCACATTTTTCACTCTGTGCCACTTTCATGCCGCAAAACTCATCAATATGGTTTTACATTTTTTTAATGTTTTTGGAAATGCTGTTTCATTTGCCTCTCAATCCAAATGCTTCCAATGCTCAATTCAAAAACTTTAACTTCTTTGTATCTATGGAGAAACTGCATTTTTGATTTTATATGGGAATTCTTCATGATGAAGGGTCTGACTTCAAATTGCTTTGAGGATTACAAGATTCCTTTGTATCACAGGCTGTCAATTAAGAACAAGATAATTACTGCCTGATAAACATTTCTTTGTCAAATAAAAACAATTTCCTATAAGGGACAGTAGAAATGGAAATACATAACAAAAATGTATTGCAGTGACTCTGGCTGATCTATTGCAGGCAATTATAGATCTCAAAGCCATTACAGAAAGTGATTTCTTGTCCAGTGGTTATTGAGGGATTGTAACAAATGTTTTCCTAGGATGCTTACCCCACGTCCATGGCACTTGGTGGCACATTTATGGACTCCAAAAACACTGGTGTTCTGGCACCGGCGGTTGAGGCAAATCTGCAAAACACAAAAAAAGGATTTTGAACAGGGACAGAGCTGCTGGGGCTCCCAGGACATCATATCCCTTCTTTCAGCAGTTTAAATATTTCCCAACACGCAAATATATATCATTACACGGACACAAAGGACACCAGGATTGGGTGTCTTCTTATTTCCCTCAGCCCCTTTCAAATCTTTGAAATCCAAATCTGAGCAAGTTGAATTCTGCTCTCCTGGCCAGCCCTGGCTCCACACACACTTCATAGTGCTGATATGCTGAGCTCGTGCAAGCAAACCCTCACAGATCCACTCGAGTGGAACTAGTGGGGAGACCCTGGGATTTGGGAGGTTTTTAAGTCAATTTAAATATCAGTAATTTGCATTTTTTTCAGGACTAGGAATGCACTGAGCAGATTCCTTCAGGCTCCTGCTCTGCCTGCCTCTGTCTCTTCACAGATGATTCCTCGAGCAAAGCTTTGGATCCTCATGGTGTAAATTATCACAGTTTTGTTTTTATCAATAGTGAAATATTTTTCATCCCATTACAGAACCTGGACGCAGGCTAGGTGAATATTTAAGTGAGGTCATTGATTTCTATGGGCTCATCATGTTTTCTAGGAAAACCAAGATCTTTCTGAGTTTTTCCATGTTAAACAATTTTTTTTTGGTGTCAAATATAAACCAACCCTATTTAACATTTAATATTTATAGGGAACAGAAGTAAACAAATAGCATATGCACAGGAATAAAGTTCAATTTTTTTTTTGTTTTCCAGTCATTGCAGATAAACTTTACTCTGCCAATGGAGCTGAAAATTGAGGTTAAGCAAGATTAGTGCTGAGCAATAATAACATCAAACAACCACGCAACTGATGAGCACGTCAGTAATGAGAAGTTACCCTATTCCAAACTGAAAAAAGAAGAAATTAGGACTGGAATAACTGTTCCTATGCTATGTTGACAACAAAAAAGGTCAAAAAGCCCCACACTGCACATTTTGCTCGTGTTTAACTGCAGTGCAGTTCAGTAGTACTAAAAGTCAGTCACAATAATTAGCATTAAGCTGGGAATGGTGTTGAAGGAGGCGACAGGGATGCTTAATCAGGGCACTTATCCCCTGGGGAGAAGGAAAAATGGAAAGGAAATTAGAGTGAATTGGCATCAACATGCAGGCATGGAGAGAATATGGTCTGATTACAGCACTATTCACAATTCAAATATTCACAGTGCAGCAGCTCCCAGAATTCTGATCACATTAAAATGGCTGCGTTTCAAATTGTGCATCTCCAGTTGAGAAAACCCAAGAATATTTAAATTCATATTCTTAATCCATAATACAAATGCACTAATGTCCTCAAAGTAAAACATACAATTTCAGAAGTATTAGCCTGTGTATTCTATAGTGTGGATGTGTATGATTAGATAGATTAGAAAGATTAAATACTCATTAGTAAAACATAATGGGGTGCTTTCTCAGCGCTGAGTTGCCTTTGAAAAGACTTTTTAGAACAGATTGACTTAGAAATGTTGTAAGGGTTGTTTTCCTGTAGCAGAGCTGTGGTTTCACTGGGGATGGATTTCAAACCTGTTCCCAGCACAGTGAGATAATCCAATGTAATTCAAAAGCATTCAGAAGTTCAGTGGCTTACTTCAATTTACCACAAATTATCAAAGCACTTGTTTTTCCTCCTTTTTGCAAGCAATCCACTGAGGGTATGGAAACCTCCTTCATTTCAATAGCTCTTGGACTGCTTTCCATTCCTCCTCCCCCTGTAAACTCATGGCTGCCTCCCATCTTTCTCAGTTGCTTTCCTCACAAAAGAAAAACTTAGAAGGAGACAGCCATGTGAAATCTGGGCTGCATTTGCAGTGGGTAATTCATAAAATTTGCAAAACACAAATGCAAAAATCAGTTTTGGTGGCTGAGCATCAATGGGTTTAGAGTTTTCTAAGAGTGCATACAGAGACAGGTTTTCCTGCATGAAAAAAGAAGTGAGGAGTCATAATCAGAAGATAAAATACATTTTGAAACCTAAAGTGAAGTTAATGACAATTTTGCAATGCCAGAGAAGCTGGGAAAAGAAATACATTGAACTCAGGAATTCATTAATAAGCCTGTAATGTATTTTGCTGTACTTATTTTGCAGAAAACCTCAAGCCTCCATGGGCAGATACTTGGGACTGTCTTCAAAAAAATCAGTCATAAACTCAAGCAACTCGCATTGCCCAGAATCCCAGGATGGTTTGGGTTGGAAAGGACTTTAAAGCTCATCTATTTCCAACCCCCTGCCATGGCCAGGGACACCTTCCACCAGATCAGGTTGCTCAGATTTGCATGTGAAAATCCATAATCCAGAACAGCGGCCAGAAGGGAGCAAAATTTGTTTCAGTCTGAGCATGAGAAGCAATTATTTTGTAGGGGGAAAAAAAATGCCCAAGAAAAAAGAAGTACAGAACACTTGGCAGAATGACAGCAGAGATGTTCCCTTTGTCTGGGAGTATTCCAGAATCTTACCTTTCCATCTTCACACTTGGTTCCTGCCAGCACCAGCCCAGGGTCAGGCATATCATCCCCCAAATACACGTGGGTGCCACGGCACAGGATCTTGCCACCCTCCTGGAGTGGGATGTTGGTTTCTATGGAAACTGCGTTGGTACCGATGACGGGTCGGTTTGCTCCTCCTTGACACTGGATTTTTCCACACTTCGCATCCCTGATGGAAATAAACACAACACAAGCAAGGATGAGGTAAATAATTTGAAATGTTCCAAGCCCTCTGCCAGCACCTGTTGCTGTGTTTGCAGGGAGAGGCCCTACCTGGGTTCACATTTGGCAAAGGAGCTCTTGGAGTCTTTCCCGCAGTTGCCGTAAGGGTCTCCAGCAGAATTGACTCTCTCAAAGCAGATCCCAGGAGCGGGTTTTGCACCTGAAACAAAACCTAATCAGAACTCTCATCTCATATAAGGTGTTTTTAATAATTTCCTTTGAGCTCTGCTGGTGCTTTAGGGGAGAGGGAGGATGTGAGCTGAATGTTGATGAGGCAACAAAACAGCGGCGCTGGATCCGCATGCTAATGGAAGAGTTTGGATGGGTGGGATTGCCAGTGTTTGTCTCTGAGCAACAGGCAATGCAGAACTCCTTCTCTTCCAGGATTTCTTGAGCTCATAGCCCTCTTGCCAATCCTCCCAGGACACAAAAACGTCAAGCAAATACCAGACAGACAAAGGCCAGCTGGAAAGTTGACTGTTTTCTTTTGCAGGAGTCCATGTTCTAGTGAGACCCCAAAGAAAATTCTTTTCAAGAAAGGCCTGTTTGACTGCAATTGAGAACAAGACAGCAGAGAAAATCCAGTTGTAAACTGGGTGTAAAGATATGAGGACCTGACATGGCAAAGGGAAATGCTGCTATTAACTCAGGCTGAAGGACTGGGGAGAGGAAAGGAGCCCATCCCACCTTAACCCTCAGGACATCCACTCCTGAGAGGAAAGACTGACATGGAAGAAGGGGCACTCCTGCCATGGTGGTAGAAGTGGGAATCTGGGAGATCAGACAGCATCTGGTTCTAATCTACTGTGATATTTTCTGATAGAGACATATCCTAATGGCAGAGGAACTTCCCTGGTGGGAGTAGGGCTGGAAAAGCTTGTGCAGGCAGATCATTCATCCCTGCACTTCAGAAGTTTGAGGGTACTATTAGAACATCTCTTCTAATGTTTTATACACATAATCTCCTGCTCATTTCCCTCCAGATTAGAACCAATTATAGAATATCTTCCAGGGGAAGATGCATCCGTTCATCTGGAATGTTGAAGAGGTGAAGGATCAGCTTCCCTGGTTTGCCTGCTGCAACAATTCATTAGTCAGTGTACTGGAATTTAATCCCTTTGTTCTACACTGAAGTGTGGCTTTCATTTCCAGCCAATAATTGCTGCTTCTTGCAAGATTAAGAGGCCCTTTGTTAGGGCTCTTTACTACTCTGTATTTTCTTTCCATGAAAATAATTAACAGCACCATCAAGTCACCACCAACACTTCAACTGCTCCAACAGGGAGACTGGCTTTGAGCAGCAGAGGAGCTGAGGAGAAACTCTGGCTAAAACTGTGATCAGAGACCTGCTACCTGCACTTCTGTGCTTTTGACAGATCAGCCAAACCAAAGCAAAAAGAACTTGGCAGCAAGTGATGTGATAGCCCAAAGGCTGAGAATATCCCATTTCTACAGCGCTCCTGATCTTCACCAGACACAGAATATTTCAACTAATGCTTCATTTTGTCAAATGTTTTGAGCCACTTCCAAGTGTGTATGCCTCTAACTGTGGGTAAAACATTGCATTTGTTTAAGCCAGACTGAAGATTTCATTTGAAAGCCTTCAAAGAGGAAAATGTTAAAGGAGGGGGGTCAGATTCCTGGAGAAGAAAATACAAATATGACTGTAACACTTCCAGCCAGTGTGGATCTTTGCACTAAAAACTCAGAGATTAAAACTTCAATTAATTATCTGCATTTCATAGTCAGAAGCCTGACTAATACTATATACTGCTGAACAGCAATCTAATGCTATTAAGAACAAAATATTAAAACTTGGAGAGGCTTAAGATGGCACCCTCTTTTCCTTCTCACATTTTCACATGCTGAAACTGGAAAATTCAGAAAGAAGGGCACAGAAGGAAGAGAATATGAGCTGATGGTTCCCTGGAGAGAAGGACAAGAGCTTGAAATTCTTTGGAAGATTACGATCAAGCTTGCTGAGTTCAGAATATTTTTTCAAATCTGGAACTCTTAAAAGAGACTCACACAGGATTCTTTAAATTCTTTTTCATTAAAGTTCAAGCAATAATAGGAAAAAAATCAACAAAAGCATCCAGACAAGGTGCAGTGCAGAAAAAGCAAAAGTTAAATTTCCATTTTCAGCATGTGGATCCCTCCTCATCTTTCCAGGGTGGGCACACTCAGTGTTCAGCTTGAGACAAACATTACCATGTACATATTCCATAGCAGCTTTGGAAGGGCTGGGGAGGGAAGAAACATTCTGGGAGCAAGAGGCCAAGGAAACCAAGGCTTTTTCCAAAACTGCTTTTTTTTCCCACATGTGCAAGGACCAGCTTGTGCAGCCCTGGTTGTGTGCAACTGCTCTGGGTCTTGTTTTTGGCCAGGAGCCTCAGCCCAGCTCAGCTGCTGCCATGGAATTCCAGAGGCTGGATGTTCCCTTGGAGCTGTGGCAGCAGCAGCCAGAGCCCAGACACGCTGTCCCCTCAGTGGTGTCTCCTCCCAGAGCTGCCAAAAGCCAAATGAATGCTCATGTCCTGTGCTCTGACTGCAAGGGATGTAACAAAGGCTTATTCTAAAAATGGGTTTCAAAAGGGAATGCACTTACTGAACACAGGCAGAGTTTAAGATGTTTCTCTTCCTCTTTCACCTGGTGGAAGTTTTTTTTGGTGTGGCTGATTTTTTTCCTGAATTCAGAAGCCAGGCATTGCAGAGATGATGGAAAGCAGCCCCCAGGAAGGAAAACACATCTGCGGGGCTCAGACACTGAGCTTTAACTCCAGCTAATAACACTTGACAAGAAAAAGGATCTCATGGAGCACAAAAACCACTCCCCTGCCAGGCTGGGAGCAGTCTGTGTGTGAAAACACCTGGTACCCAATGATCATCTGCAGCCTGGAAACCAAAATCCAGCTTCAATTTCTGCCTTTGGTATCCAACCAAGACAGGCTGTTGCTTGGGATTCAGATGGCTGTTCCCTCTCCCCACTGGCTTCTCACAATATTTGCACTTTTTTATGGATGAAAACATATCAGAGTGTAAGATGCTGAACAGATGGAGCTACCAAGTTAAAAGGAGGCTTTCAGAGGATGCTTAAGGAGGAGAATTGTAATGTTGTGTTTCTGGAGGAAACCCATTTATCATGACTGCACTACATAAACTGAAGCAGAAAGTCCTGTCTTCCTCTATTTTCTACCTCTGCAGGCAGAGGCAAAATGATTTGTGAAGGATTTCTGGTGGTTATTAAGTGGCTTGAGCTGGATGAGCAGAGTTTATTTCACTTTGATATTGGTAATTATAGTATCATGACCCTGTAATTAAGGTCCTGTCAGCCTTTCCATGCCAACCCTCATTTAAGGGATTAAATCAGCCCCTGGAAGCTGCAGAAGGTCAAAGCTCACCCCTGCAGCTGGCAGCCTGGAGATTGTTGGGGCATTTTCTCCAAACATTTATATTGGTGAGGCCACTTCTTTCCCTATGCAGTTGCAAAAAAATAAAATAATAAAAAAAAGAGAAGTTGCAGGGCACAGAAATGCTGTGTCATTTCAAACCTGCTGCCATAGGAAAACACTAACACAGCCTCTCGAAAGGAATGAGGGAAATTTCTGACCATGGTGCTGATTCCATGAACACAAGAAACATCCTCTATCAGGCTGACAGCAGAAAAGGAAGATATTGCAGTTCAGTTCCCAGCTGTCTGTGGGTGGGGAGAGGGGACAAAAACAACCTCTGAGTAACAGGCTGGAGTTCTGTGGCTCAGCCTGTGCCAGCCAGCACCACGAATAACTGTGCAAATAAATATAAGCATAAAAACCACAGTTCTCTGTCGTGTGATCTGGGTTTCAGCTCATTAAATTTGTTTTTGCTGCAAAGCAAAAGTTCCACTAGCTGCCCTTGGCCTCTCTCCCCATCCTGGTGATTCCTGTTCTGTCTAGGCAAGAGCAAGATGGGGTTGAGCAGTTTTTTGTGTTTAAGGAGGATGATGTCACCATCCCTGAGAATATTATTTAATATCTTTCCCATCTCTAGAAGAAAAAGGCCTGGCCATAAATCTGTGATGATCAAAATAGTTTGATTTCACTGAATTCAGAAAATTGCAGTGCTTGGACAATTACCATTGTTTCAAAAGCAAGTCAGCAATGGTTTGGTCAGATATCTGAGGTGGGCAGCCCATTTATTTTGTGTGTGTAGGGTTCTACCTGGAAAAACCTGCAAAGTTTTCACACAGTAACAAATATTGATGTCTAAATTAAGAATGTTCCTGCCTAAACAAATGGCCATGTCCATGCAACACATTTAAGTGTGTTCTAATTATTAAATCAATGCCTGTCATTGGCTCCCCAAAATCATTGCTTTTTTCCCACTTGGGGAAATACAGGAAAACAAACTGACAAACTTCCCTAAAGAATCATTTTCTTGTCAATGTAGAAAAAGCCATGAGTTTAAAGTTGAGAATCTTCTGTTCCTTGGCAATCAATGATTTCTCTGTCTTGAGCAGATCTCTCTGGGTGTCTGTTTCTCCCAGAAAATGCCACCACAGAAAGCATCTCCATTGATGTCACTGCTATCAATAGGTCAGATCAGTGCAACCTTGTATTTTTGAATATGCACCAAAAAAAGGTAACCAGCAGTTCCTGCTCCCCAAGGATAAAAGTGACATGAATTGTGGAGAGAGAGAGAATGGAGAGCTCTGGGTGTTCTGGGAACAGACTGGAATCAACCTGGGCTCTGAGAGGAATTCATGGCTATTTTCAGAGATTGTCCCCAGGAGCTCCTCCCTTCTCCTTCCACGCAGATAAGAAAGAGCAAAAAAAAAAATGTCCTCTATTTTATCTGAACAACTGTGTTGAGAGAAACAAAAACAAGCCCAAGGAAATGCAAGTGCTTTTCTGGAAACAGGTTCCTACTGCTCAGCCTAATGTAAACAGGCTCTGACAGTGTTCATCATTTTCCTTTAAATAGATCTAAAAACATGAAGATTGACATTTATCATTGGGCTTCTGGACATCTGTAACCTGATGAATAAAGAAAGATGTACAAGGGAAGACATTAATAAGGAATTCAATATACCGAGTATTATTTTAGGAAAAGTTATTGTATTTTGTTCTGCATGGATTCCTCCTACTGGGAAGAAGAAAATGAGGAGAGAATGAAAATGAATTATAATATGATTTTTCTTTAGAGGGGAGAATTTTTTTTTTTTTAAACCTCAAAACTACTTCACTCCAACACAGGCAGTTGTTATAAACAGTTCTAATCAGACACAACAACCTGGCAAAAGGTTCTAATATGTATTTTTGATACAAAGTCCAGAGACAACATCTTAGAATGTCAAATCTCTCTATGTGCTGCAGGCAAAACTGGAAAGACGTGTAGTTTTTTTTAATCTGTACCATGATCTGTACAATTTTCCTAACTGCATGAGCCACCCACCTCTCTTCTCATTCCACCCCAAGTCTGCCAGCTCACACTTCAGCCAGATGTGTGATAGAGCAGTGGATATTCACATCCTAGTCTTTAAATCCAGAATATAGGCATTATTTGAAGTGTCCAAGGCCAGCTAGGCAGGGCTTGGAGCAACCTGGTCTAGTGCAAGGTGTCCCTGCTCATGGCAGGGGGTGGAATGAGATGATCTCTAATGTCTCTTGCAGCCCAAACCATTGTGGCATTCTGTGTTGATTTTTAATTTATTCTTCCAAAACGTGGCAAGAATTAAGACTTTCAGTTTAGGTTTGGTCATGTCCATCTTTCCTATTTAAAATCCTTCTCCTTGGGCCTTCCCAAGACAAAACCAAAGGGTATTCCAGTCAAATTCTGTTTGAACTGTGTTCTTAACACAACATCTGTCTCATAAACAGACTCCCACAGCCTGGAGTCTCCACGCCTGGCTGTGCCTGTATCAAACTGCCCCAAGAAGGAAGGCAGGAAAGAATTAGGGGATCCCAGGGCTGTGGTGGAATTGCTGTGTTAGGAAGAGCCCTGGCAAGGAGCTGCAGCAATGCAGCTCCCTGACCTTTAGAGGGATTTTTCTGAGCCACTGAAACCATGAACAGCCTGACCAAGTAACTTTCCACAGCACGGGAAACTGGTTCAGGAGGAGATTTTTGCTTTCTACAAGAGAAAATGTCTCTGTATCCAGGGATTAGAAGTCCCAGTCTGACTAAGGCTGGAGGCTATAATTGTCCATGGCTCTATGAGCTCATATCATCTCTAGGACACGCATGGGATTCGGGGGAGTGGAGCTCAGGCACGGTTTGTTCCACGTGAGGAGTTCAGTTCTGAGCTGGAACTCCTCCTGAACGTGTCCTTATGCCAAGCTGACCTGCTGTCTGTACCACTGGGGCTGCTTCTTGAGATGCTTTAATGCTCTTTTAAAGAGAGATTGCAAAAAGTCCATGTTCTCTGGGAAAGAAACAGATAAATGCTTCAGCAGTGTTCTGGGGAGGGTTTTGACCAAGGGAAACATCTGTGTGCCATTATATTGATACTGAAGTTTTGGAGCAGAGTTAGAGATGCTGAATTGAAAGAAGCTGGAAATATTAGTTTAAAAGAAATAATTACACCTATCTCTAAGTAATGTTTCTCCATAGGAGAGAGAGTTTTTAAAATTTGAGATAAAAGATGGGGTCAGAGATGCTGAAGGAGACACGATTTGGATTCATACCAAAATGCTGAGTTAATACTTGCATTTCAGTGGAAGGGTCACAGGGCTTTATAGAAAGGTGAACAGCTTTCCTGGGATAGATGTTGAGAACAACTCAAGAACTCATGTTACGAGATTTCTGCAAAAAGGGAGCAAATTCCCATGGGAGAATAAACCCCTTTCTGCTCCAGTGCACACCCTGCTAAAAGCACTGTCAGGAGGCAGTTTCCAGGTGACACCAGTTAATAAAACACACACAATGATCCAGGAGTCTCCTGTTAGTGTCAAAAGCTGAGCCCTGGCTGGGGATGGAGCAGACACATCTGTTTTGCAGATGAGCTGTTTAGAGCACAGGAGGAAGCTCACACAGCAGCCTGAAAAGGGCTGTGATTTCAACCTGCCAGGAGCGTTCAGCACTTTGTGGGGTGACATCAGGCCATATCAAAGTCAGGAGGAATGATTTGTCTAAGTTCACCTATCCACTTGCAGCGTGTTGCAGCACAAGCCTCGTTACCTCCTGCTGCGAGGAACGAACAAGACAGCAAATCAAGGCTGGAATGAATCACCCAGAGATTCCCTCATTATTCAAATAGCTACAGATTGGTGCTGCATCCTCCAGACCTTTATTCCCTCCCCCAAGCCTCTGTCAGTCCTGTGTCCCTGTGCTGGTGATGCCTTGGGAAGGCAGACCTAGAGCAGAGGCTGGACAGAGCTAAAGCATAAAGCAGGGATTCTGGCACTCACCTGGGCCCCAGAGGGTGATGCACTGCTGCTCGTGGGTCTGGCAGATGCCGTTGTAGCAGTAGCCATCCACCCCGTGGCACGCGTGCCCGTCGTGCAGGTAAACGTTGGCCGGGCACTGCGGGCTGGCCCCCGTGCAGAACTCGGGCAGGTCACAGGAATTGCTCGACTCTCTGCAAGAGATCCCCGCTGGTTTGAGCTGCAAAACAAACAGAACTTCAGCAGCCGCGCCGTGCCTGGGTCAGCCCTGCAGTACAGGAGCAGATTTCCCCACTGGCCCAGCCCCAGCTGGCTGCAGAGACAGGGCAGGGATGGCAGAGCTCGGAGTGCACGGATCTGAGCAGTGCTGGGAGGCTTTGGCAGGAAGGAGGGTCAGATGAAGCCACACACATGGCTCACATGGCTCAAGACAGAAGGAAACCCCAGCCCTGACGTTTGCCGGTGGCTCCTTCATCATGTCTGAGCACAAGGAGGATCTGGAGCACTGGGAAAAAGGCAGGTCAGAGACTCTTCCATCCAGGGCAGCTGATCACAGAACACTGTGCTGTGTTAGGGCTCAGGAAGCACCAGCACGCTTGGCTGTGGATTCAGATGTGAATTCAGATTCAATTCCCAGCTTGGAAGGTTCAATTCAATGATCTTGAATAGATCTTGAATGTTAATTAATCTATGCAGTTACATTTCCTCATGGAAATGTTGCTGTGATGGGAATCAAGATCTCCTCAAACTTAGTTACAAGATTAGTCCACGTAACTGTTTGTCCTGTACCAATTTCCATGGAAAAGTATATATTTTTTGGAACTGATGGTGGAACATGCCAGTCTGAACATTCACATCTCAACAGCAGCCACAAAAGTTGGGTGTGCTCTGGGAGCAGCACTGAATTTTAATCAAATTGCCTTCAGTAAAAAGCAAAGGGCATGAAGATAGATTGATTTTGCTAAAAAGCAATTCCTGGCCATGGGGATCCCTTGCTGCTCCAAGCTCATGGGTTGCCACAGACAGGATGGCAACTTGCTGGATATTTCATTAGCCCACAGGCAAGGGATGGTCTGAGAATTCAAGCAGGTAAATGCCTGTGGTAAGTTGGCTTTTATAGAGTGTTAGGAGACCACAACAGCTGATGATCTGCTATTAAAAATACATATGATATTGACAGAATTAATAATTTAAGAGTCTACCCCCAAAAAAGAGGGTTAAGCATTTAATGACTGCTTGCTGAATAAGAATGAGAAAAATTAAAGCACACAAAAGTTCATGAAAAAGAAGTTTTGCATGAGCAACTGAAGGGGCCACAAAAAGCACAGAGACAATTTTAAAAATCTGTGGATCTGCTCATTCAATAATTTATATTTTGGGATTTTTTTAATTGCTCACATGACATGCAAGAGTCTTAATGCTTATCAATACCAATTTATTTCTCCTCCATTCTTGCTTACTGCACTGAAGCAGGGAAAACCACAGGGAATTCTGCCCTCCCCACCCCAAACAGAGCCATTTCCCCTGGTTCACCTGGCAGTCCTCGCAGCAGAGCCCATGTGCACACACTGCTCCCGGGTTCAAGGCACAGGTGGTTGCGTTGCAGCACGGGTTTGTACATTCCTGGATGGATTTGGAGGGTAAATTTAGAGCAGACAACGTGCAGTTACAATGAGCCGTAAATCAAGAGGCTGCCTATAAGCTCTGCCAAGAAAAGCTGGGCATGAAATCATGAATTATGCATGAAATTCGACAACCTGATCCAAACAGCCTTGTCTGCCCTCAGATTCAACAAGCCCAACAAGAGTAATAAAACCAGAGGAGCTGCTGAGGAGGGCTGGTTTATTCCAGCTATGGATCTAATCCCAAACATCACAAACAACCCAAGCGTGCTGACACCAACCCTGATAGAGCACTGGGGTGTTTTATTTCCACAGGAATCAGTGGAATGATTCCACTGCCTCCAGAGAGGATCCAGGAGCTGCTGCAGTTGCTGAGCATCACGACCACAGCTCTATTTCGTGATAGCTGCTGGCCAGGCTCCTGTTTGGATGGAGGCTGGGGCTGCCACAGAGGAAGACAACGACATGATTCCATGTAATCCCTTATCAGAGCACACCAGTAATAGAGCTGTGAGATATGGAATGGGCATGAATTGCAGCCTCACTCACTGATACATCCCAATTTCACACTTGTGGATTAGATGGTGCCGTGTGTGGGCTCCTGCAAACTTTATTGTCAGTAGAACGAGCTCGTAAGGAGCCTGAGAAAAGAATGGATTTGTTTTTCCAAGATAATGCCCACAAGCTGCAAGTTACACCAGCTGAGCTGGAATCTCATCTCTCTCACAGAAATAGAAGCAGATAAAATTGCTCTTCAGCTGTGTTAAGAAGTCTGTTTGACTTAGCAAGGGATCACTGGCAACAGAGGGAACACAGGAGGAGTGAGTGGGTTAGAGTGATGTTCACAGCCTCTTGTTACTTCCATGGCTTCTGAAAGCTTCCCAGCTGGAAGGCAGGGCTAGCACTGACTCACCAGCAAAAACCAGAAGGATTCTTAGCATTTCACTGTTATTTAGGTATCATCTTCCTGGATGCACAAAGCCAACTGTGCTCTGAAGCAGAGGAACCACTTCCTGCTCCTATTTCTGACCACCGGAAAGCAGCAGGCTACGGAAATACTCCTGTGCAGCTGCTGCATGCCAGGAGTAACACTGCCCTGCACAGAAGCACGTTTTACAAATTCACCTCAGAAATAATCTGAGATAAGCAGGGTGGAGTGTCAGTCCCATTAAGGTCATTTTGAAACAGTCAGCTGCAATACCCCATCCTCTGGCCCCACAGCAGCATTCCACAGGCAGGCTGGGATAAAGACACAGCTCTTGGAGTGGTGTTTCAGCAGCCTCTGAAATTTCCAATTGCTGCCTCACTTATTGCTCATTGTAGGGAATGAGCTTGGTAAATAGTTTTTGTGCCTGGGCTATCAAATTGTCAGGAATGATTTTAACATAAACAAGCAGAAAAAACAAGCAAGGCTCACCAGGCTTTGGGAGGATGGAGGCTGCCACCTGAAAGTACTGCTGTGCTGGGGTTTGTTGTTTGTTGTTGTTATTATTATTAGTTATTATTGATAACAACAGCAATGATGGGAGGAGGTTTCTCAGTGTGGCTCTCCTGGCTCTTCAGAGGAACCAGAGCAGCCCAACCCCAGAACAATTCCAGCACCACCTACGTGATGTCAGGCTCTGTCCTGTGGACAGGACACCTGGTTCTCCCCCTCTCTTTTCTGAAATACAGGACAGACCCCACTGGGTCAGCCCAGAACTCCTCTGTCCTTGTGTCCCCCTGAGAGCAGCCAGCAGAAGATGTTTAAGGACAACGACACCTTCCCAGTCTCCTGCCCTTCCCTGGCTTTCCCTTTGCTCCACGAGCATTTTTAGCACCTGTAAGAGTCAGAGTAAAGGAACTCACAGATACCCAGCACAGTCAGGGGAGCAGTTCCTTCTGCTTGTTTGGAACCTGCCAATTTCTAACTTCATCTGCTCATTTCTCATGGGGGTTGATCTCTCCTCTCTCCCCCTTTCCATTCCCCTCAAATTTTATCAGCTTATGTGCATTTCCCTTCATTTTCTTCTTTTCCAGCCAGAGCCCTTTGGAAACTTTGAACCACCTTATTGCTTTTCTCTCAATCTTTTTTCACTCTGCTTTATCCTCCCTGGGATCAGGGAGGGGTAGGGAAAACCTGCACAAGCAGTTTCAGGCGCAGCAGATTTATAGAGGTCTGCTGGTGCTTTGTTTTGTTTTCCTATTTCTCTCCTAGTACTTTCTAACAGCCTATTTACCTTTTAGACCACTCCTGAGCACTGGGCTGACATTTTCATGAGACTATTTATTGTAATATGAAGTCTTGTTCCTCCATGGTCAGAGTCAGCTCAGAGTCCATCATGTTCTTTTTGTTTTTGGAATGTTCATCACTCCTCAGTGAGTCCCATTTCTCATCTTAATGCCTGTTCCAGCTGCCTCAGAAGGTTTCTCTGCAGTCCTTCACAGCCAGTTTTCATCTCTAGCAGCCTAACTAATATCATCAGCAAATTAAAGACTATTCTTCTTCCCAGGCTGCTTATGAAAATGCTGAGTTGTGTAGTCCCAGGACACATCTCATGGATACAGCACAGCAGATCTCCTGCCACTGCATGAAATGGGTGATTTACACCTGGTTCTATTTCTATCTTTTAACCCAATTTTTGCCCATGTAGTTTTCTCTCCTTTACAGCTGCTCAATCTCCCAGAGAAGCTTTGGTGAAAGGCTTGGTCCAAAGCCTCTCTGAACCCCTCACAGGCTGCAGTGACAGTCCTGTTCCTCTCCATCCACTTGTTGAGCCCTTCAGAGCACTTTGATGGATTTTTAAGACAAGATTTTGTAAGACAAGAGTTCCTGGCACAAAAGCCGCGTTGACTCGTCCCTGGCATGTCACAGCTGTTTGGGCACTCACTCCTAATTACATTTGGAAGTAATTTGTCTGACTTCAGAGTTAGCAATTTGTAGTTTTCTGTTCTTGCTTGCAGCTGGTTATAAAAGACACATTTTCATCTTTCAAGGACCAAGGACTTTTACTTCTCTTCATTCTTTTATCTTTCTATCAATAATTTACATTAACCCTCCTTCCACAGACACTGCAGCACGTCAGGCATTTTTGGTCATATAGACTAATTGTTAGGATCATAAAATCATAGAATAGTTTGGGTTTGAAGAGACCAAAAATCATCCAGTTCCACCCCAGCCATGGCAGGGACACCTTCCCCTGTCCCAGGTGCTCCCAGCCCCAGTGTCCAGCCTGGCCTTGGGCACTGCCAGGGATCCAGGGGCAGCCACAGCTGCTCTGGGCACCCTGTGCCACTCCCCACCCTCACAGAAGAATTTAATCCTAATACCACTCATTCTTGGGATCCTGCAACACCACGGACAGAACTCAGCTGGTACAAATGACTGGGCAGTGAATCAGTAACTGATCACACAGGTTTTCTGGAACCACTCAGGTTAGAGCAGTAAATCCCAAATAAATTTAATTGCACCCAGGCTGCATTTTTTCCATTCTAACTAAAAAGGCAAAAAGACAGAAAGAAGAGGCAAATCAAGGCAGTGCTTGCTGACATTAAGTGGTTTTGACTTGAAAAGGTATCACTAACGTTTAGAAATGAAAACAAGAAAGATAACAGGGTTAGGAAGACGTTTGCAAGCTGCTTGCACTCTATTGACTTTAAACAAGGAGATAAGGCTGCTTCCTCCAACCCTGTCACCCTCAAGAGTGAGTGAACTGTCAGGAAATCCTCACAGCTTGGACAAGCTCAATACACTCCATAGGCAATATCTCACTGCTTTAACTGCCCCCATCTCCTTTTCTGTAGGTCCCTATTTATCACAGGAAACAAATCCCTGATCTGCTGCTGCCTTTAATTCAGATAATCAGAGAGAAGTTCAATAAAGCCAATGAGGACGGGATGTAACAGGGATAAGGATGCCAGCTCGGATATTATTTGACCCCCAGGTTTTGCCTATCTCCTGCTGATCTGAGGAGTCCTCTGGCACATTCACTAAACTAAATGGAACAATCTTTGCAGCAGCAATCTGTTTGGGAGGCAGTGAAGACTCTTTCTGTTGGGAAGTAATTGGCTGGAGGGAAAGAAAAATCCTGCAGTGAAGGAGGGAAAGGTCTTGTACCTAAAAACTGAAGCTGCAATGAAAAATACCTGGCCAATATTAATATTTCTATTTATATAGTGTTATACATATGGGTAGTGAGGCCCTGGCACAGGGTGTCCAGAGCAGCTGTGGCTGCCCCTGGATCCCTGGCAGTGCCCAAGGCCAGGCTGGATAGGGCTTGGAGCAACCTGGGATAGTGAATAAGTGAAATGGCAGGGGGAAAATGAGATTATCTTTATGGTCCCCAACCCAATGCACTCTATGACTGCACAGTTTCTATGGTTATATTGACATAAATATAAATATATGAGTGGCTTCTCATTGACAGAAACAAACCTTCGACTAATGCACGTTTGCTTGAGAAATTCGAGCCAAGTTCTCCAACTTCTTCTGAATTTAGCTGATTAGCTAATGCTGAAAGGAACTTCTAGGAACATGAGGTCACGGCCAGTCTGCTGGACAAGCCAGAGTTTGCTCTCTAAGGATGAACTGAGCACATTCTTCACCCAAGCCCTGCTTAAACTTCACCATCTCGAATACACTCGAGACTCCCTGCCCTTCTGAGACTCTGAGGTTTAAGCTGACGGGACAGAAGCAGAGAAGGCAGAGCTCTGTTTTACACCAAAGCAACCCTGCACTGCCAAAACCCTGCAGGCAGAACATGAGCAGCAACTCCCAGCTGGTGACTTACCTCAGGCTCCCCGCAGTCACATTCCTCTCCGTCCTCCACATAGCCATTCCCACACTTCTGGCCACCAAAGGACTCCTTGACCTCAGGCAGGTTAAAGAGACACATTCCCACTCCTTTCTCCAGGCTGTTTTCCAGGTCTTTTCTACTGCAGCTACTGAAGACCATGGGGAATGGATAGCTGGAGAAAACCCACATGGAGACAAAAGGAAGGTTGTTATATGATGAAAACCTCTCTCTCCTGTCACACAGGTGACATTTTAGCACCTCTGTGCCTTAACCAGAAGATTGTGTTCACTTTTTATCACACAGAATTGAGGTGCAGCAATTCATGGTGAAATTGAGCTCAACCCATTAATAATAATAATTTCTGACTATGAGTAAGGGAATCTTCACTTTTTCACTTCAATTTGTAGCTGCTGTTAAGGACTGGAAGTGTTCACATTTGAAATTCCTTCTCTTTTGCTTATGGAGTTATAATGCAAATGATGATTATGAGCCTAAAGAAATGCTGGCTTTGCAAGTAGTATCCTGCATTTGCAGGACTGCAAAAGATCCTAATCCTTCTTGGAAAATTCAGCCTCAAATGGCAAATTCATTCATCTTGCTCTGCAGAATGGCAAACTTCCTGCTCTTTTCAGGAAAAAAAAAAAATAAAAAAGAATAAAATAAAAAACCCACTGTTACTTGATAAGAGCCCGCTTCTGCAATTCATCAAAGCTGAGCTTGGGAACTGCATGATTAAAGCAAAGACAGTTCTTATTTTAAATCAGCAGGACTGTAAGGACACTGTGCTGAAAATACTCCTGTTTGGAATTCCCAGTGCTGAGTGCAGCCTGGGCCCTGCTGTGCAGACACGTAGCAGCTCCCACTCCTTTTGCACAACCCCCAGGCAGTGAGAGCACAACAGTCCCGTGCAGTACAAACACCAGCAGGTAATTGGTGCTTTTCTCTGGCAGAACTCAACTCCCTTTCTGCTGATGAGTGTTTGCAGTTTGCCTCACGGATGAGGGACCAAGTGACACCAGGGCCTGGCTGATGGCACGGTGTCCTTGGTGCCTTAAGGAGCTGGAGCAGAGGCTAGAGGGAGTTCAGAGGAATAAAGTGCAGATTTATTGAAGTGCCTTCAAAGGCCACTCCCTGGCAGTGCCCAGATGGCTCCAAGATGGAAGCAAAAGAGCTTGGGCACGAGATCTCACATTTTTATAAGTTTTAGTCCATTTGCATATAGGAGTTAACTGTCCAATTAACATCTTCCAATGATGAACTTTCATCCTCCTTGTTTGCTTGCCCACCCTCCTCTTTTCATGTTGTTCATCCTTTGGGCCTGAAATTTGAAGAGATTGTCCGTGAGTCTCCGGCTAGAAAAGGATTCTTTTGTCTCCGCCATGCTGTGAAAAGATCCCAGTAACACTTCATATAAAGCTAAAGCTGCACAAAAAAACAAAACAGAAAAACTCAAACCCCAAGGTGTCATCCTAAGGTGTTCTGTGCTGAGATGTCATGGAACCAGACTCATGGAACAATTTGGGCTGGAAAAGGACTTGGAAACCATTTCATCCTATCTCCAGGGGCACTTTCCACTACCCCAGGGCTCCAAGCCCTGTCAGCCTGGCCTTGGACATTTCCTGTGGCTGCTCCATCCCCAGCTTCTTTGGGAAACCCATGCCAGGGCCTCCCCACCTCGACAGGGAAGAATTTCCCCAAATATCTCACGTCCACGTTGAGTTACATTGAACCTGTGTCACAAACATGGTGTAAAACAGCTTCTCCCCTCAGACTGATACAGAAACTCAACATTTCAGCAGCTCAGGAGCCAACCTGGCAATTCCACTTTACTCACTGAGTGCTTTGTGTCACCCACGTGCTATTAGGATTGTTATCTTTGCAGACAAGCAAGATAACAGATAGAAATTCTGCACTGCTGAACTTCAGACTTCCATTAATCTCCTGGTGTTTCTGATATCCTCAGATGAAAAGCTTGTTTTGGGAATGATGATGCCCGTAGGCCTTAGAAAGGGATAATTTCTATTAAAAAGAAAGAAATGTTTGGCAACTACAAATGCAATAGAGCTTCCTATGCTGACATAAGGAAGTTAATTAGGATCTTCTAGAAGGTTATGGATACATTACAGAACAGAATATATTTTGTGCCTAGTTAAAATTACCTCTTTTACAGTTTCTTTTGCAATAAAACAGCCAGCTCATTGGAAAAGAACATAAACATGAGTCTGAAGAAGAAAATAATTTTCCAATATCACTGTAGGGCTTGTCAAGTTAAACTAAACAGTTTTGAGTTTCAATGACATATGACTTCAGAAAGCTAATAGGCATCTCCATGTAATAAGCTGATTGCTGGAAAATATCAATGTTTCAAAAAAATGACAGAGTCTAAGATAAATAAAGAAATTTCAGAATAGCAGGAGGTAGAGCCAGGCTGTTAGCTGGGCCCCAAGGGAGGGCAGGGAAGGTACTTGGAGTAATGGAACAGAAAATAAAGGCTCTTGGAAAACTACTGACCATTTTATATTGAGCAATTGGAGATGTTCTTAACAGGACACCACAAACTTCTGTCCTACCCTCAGTGTGACTGGGAAGAAACCTCACAAAATTCTGTGTACGTGACTGTGAACAAGTAGATGGGTGCACATTCCTGCCAACCAGCAGGAAAAACCAAAGAAACCCAGATATATCTGACTGATAAATCCTGATGAGGGCTTGATCAGACAGGGCCTTCACATCAAAGTGTGAACAAATGAACACTGCATCATCCAGGCACGATCCTGCTCTTCAGTGGCACAGGTTGGCTTTGATATCCACTGGGGTGAGACAAGGAGACACACACCTCTCAGGGAATGAATCCATTCCGGAGCACAATTAATGCAGATCTCCTTGTGACACCTCTCAGCCACACACAGAGCATGAGGACAGCTCACCAGTCAAAACTGTCACTGTTTTAGGGCTGTTCCTTGGCATGCCTGGATCCCCAGGATCATTGGCATGGATGTGAGGTGTCTGTCCATCAGCAGGAGGGCAGACTCTTCTCTCTGTGCCGGAGGTGAAACTGTGCAATTGCTGATGAATGAGCTTTATGTTTCCCCCCAAAGGAACTTCAAGCTGTTTCCTATTTTGAACCCAGAGATCCATTCATCTTCTGTCTTTTCCTGCTCCTGACACTGGTTTCCTCAGCTGACATCAGTGCAGCACATGGCACATGAGGACATTTCCTGAAACGCTTCTTCTTTACCAAGTAATCCCCAAATAAAGCAATAAAAACCCAGAAATAAACCCAGCTGGTGGAAACAGAGAAACTTCAGGGTAACCACACCATGCAAGAGAAGATCCCACATCAATTGGTGCCAATTGGTATTTCATTGGAAACCTGATTGATCTTTAATGTGATATTCTGATACACAACCAGTCTTCTTTTCTTGACCAATAAAATTCCATGTAACAGCCACAGCACTTGATTGTTGTGATTTTAGGCTGTATTTTGTCTGTCTCTGCAATTTTAAAGCTGTTTCATCAGAAGAATGAAATGCCTGGCAGATGGGATGGGAAGTCACAGATACCAGATGTCAGCGGTGCTCAAACCAATGTTTGAGTGGATCTGGAGCTTGTGAAAAATGCTAAAGGCATGGGGATGTGAAAGGAATTAATCCTCTGAACAAATGCAGGAGCTTCCTCCTACTACCCTTTAAAGAGGCTTCTGATCTCCCCTGGAAGGAGCTGCCTCAGGGTGGGAGAAGGAGATGGGGTCTCCACAGTGGAGTCAGCCCTTGACCTGTCTCCAAGATTTCTGTGATATCTAAACAGGGACGTTTGTGCTTCCTGTGGTAGCTCAGACATTTACTCTGTTGGAAAACCAGCTCATGAATGCCATGAGAGAACATTCCAGAGGTGAAAAATTCATCAGCAGCCTTTATACTCCATTCATCTCCGCTCCAGACATTTTCTGTTACAGATCCTTATTTCTTTTTACAGTTGGAAAGAGAAAGGACACTTCAGTCCAGCCTCACTCTTATTCCAAAATGCTGTGTCCCATGCATTTTTTACACTGTCTGAATCTGTAGATTTAATACACAATGGATCATTTTGTCAAACCCTTCTGGCTGTGGGTACAACTCTACAGAACTCGAATTGTTCCCAGCACTACCATCAGTCTCCTCAGTGGCTTTACAGCAAGGAAAACAACTTCAGTCTTTCTGCCCTTCTCAAATCCACAGCATTCCTTGGTGTCTCCTTGGTGCTTAAAAGATGTGTTTAAACCCCAGCAACAAATATCCCAGTTTCCAACAAAAATAGCTCTGCCTGCTCCTGCAAGTAAGAACTTCACAGTTGTCAGAGGATCCTTGGTAATCGATTCCTTGGGAAACAGAGCCTGGGCTTGTCCCATTCATTTATATTTCAAGCACTCCAGCCCTCCAAATGCCAGGTTCCTTTAGGCAGCTCGGCATTTAGCCTGTATTAGATGGCTCCTTCCATTAACTAAGTGAAGTGGCATCAGCACTCTGTCAAGTCCCATTTAGGAAGAGAGGATTCTTTGTACCAGCACCTTGTTGCCCAGCACAGGCTTCTTTTCTTTTCTTTTTTTTCCCCCCCCACAAAAAATATAAAAGCTCATCCCCGTCATCTCCATTCCAGAGGAATTCCCCTTCCCCAGGGGCTCAATGACAGGAGAGTTCAAGCACAGGGACTGAGCTACTGCCCCAGAAAATTACAGGCTGAGGAGAGGAGACAGGCAGAGCACTGAGGAGAGAGGCAGTGGCTGCTGATCCGTGCAGGTCACAGCAGATCCGTGATCACTGCTCAGGCTGCTGGGATGTTCCCATTCCTGCCCTTTCAACTGCTGAGGCTGCTGGGATGTTCCCATTCCTGCTCTCCTCACTGCTCAGGCTGCTGGGATGCTGGGATGTTCCCATTCCTGCCCTCCCCACTGCTCAGGCTGCTGGGATGTTCCCATTCCTGCCCTTTTCAATGCTCAGGCTGCTGGGATGTTCCCATTCCTGCCCTCCCCACTGCTCAGGCTGCTGGGATGTTCCCATTCCTGCCCTCCCCACTGCTCCATCTGGAATATGCCTGGAGGGGCAGTGCCCTGAGCTGCAGGAGACCCAAACCCCTCCAGCTGCATTGCAGCAGCACCTCAGGAAAGGTGGAACTCCTTTGGTTCCTCCAAATCCT